AGCAGGCTCCCCGCTGAGCAAGGAGCCCGACGCAGGGCTCGATCCCAGGACCCTGGGACCATGACCTGAGCCGAAGGCAGATGCTCAACCGACGGAGCCACCCAGGCGCCCCAGTATAATGTCTATTTTGAAAACTTCTTTTTACTAATAGAATGTCATTTTTAAAATTTAAATTCAATCAGCCAACATATAGTACATCATTCATTTCAGATGTAGAGTTCAGTTGTTTAACAGTTGCATAGAACACCCAGTGCTCATTTAAAAAAAAAAATCATTAGGCTAGTTTGTTCTCGTGTTTAGAACAGAATATATGACACTCCTGAGATATGGTTTTGAAAAAAATAACGAAAACGAGCTATTTCCAGAGCTGCAGATTCTTAGCTATTTTAGTACCCTCACCTCAATGAAAGGAACACTGCATGGTGAAATTCAGTTAGAAAAGCAAATAATCCCTAATGAAGAAAGAATATTAGATTGTGAGAAGAAACAGCAAAAATGTTTGCTTTGGAAAGTTACATTTGCATCTGCTTACATATATGCATATATACTTAAGGAAGCTGAATCAAACTATTAACTGAATCCAAATATTTGAAATGTGTGCGTGACCGAGACAGACAGAGCTTTTGGAAAAAAAAGTAAGTAGTAAAAGCTCAGCTAATGTGTAATTGTGTCCTTTTATTACTAAAGGGGAGGGTGGATTTAAAAATTGTTCAAAACTGGGGCATCTGGGAGGCTCAGTCAGTTAAGCCACCGACTCAAGATTTCGGCTCAGGTCATGACCTCAGGGTCCTGGGATCCAGATGGGCTCCTCACTCAGCGCAGAGTTGGCTTGAGATTCTCTGTCTCCCTCTCCCTCTGCACCACACCTCTGCACTCCGTCTCTCTCAAAAACTGTTCAAAATTATAAAGGACAGTTCCTAGAATAACAATGCAGGTAGCTACTTAAAATCAGAAACACAATGTATAACTTTCAAACTCGTTAGTGTAATTGTAGAAAACAAATCTTTTTTCAGCTATTTATTTGTTTTTATTTTTTTATTAACATATAATATATTATTTGTTCCAGGGGTACAGGTCTGTGATTCATCAGTCTTACACAATTCATAGCACTCACCGTAGCAACAATGTCCATCACCGAGACTATTTATTTTTTTAATTTAAATTTTCTTTAAATTGAGGTATAATTAACACAGTGTTGTATTAGCATCAGGTGTACAGTATAATGGCTCAACAATTCTATCCATCACTCAGCGTTCATCGCAGTAAGTGACATCTTCGTCCCTTTCATGCATATGCCCTTTGGCAACCACCAGTCTCTATATTTAAGAGTCTGGGGATTTTTATTTGTTTGCTTCTCTCTTTTTTTTTTAATCTTTTTTTGGAAAACACATACATCTTCATCAAGTAAGAAGTCTGGAAAGTCAAAAGGAAGCTAAGAGAACGTAGGGTATCTTAACACATGTGGAGAAAAGAACATCCTATACACTGTTGGTGAGGATATCATGGTGGTGCCATTATGGAAAAACGGTATGGAGTTTCATCAAAAAGTTAACAAAGAACTACTAGATGTTCCATCAGTCTCACTTCTGAGTGTGTATCCAAAGGAAAGAAACAGGATCTTGAAGAGGTGTCCGCACTCCCATCTTCAGTACAGCATTGTTCACAATGGCCAAGATACGGAAACAACAGTATCCATCAATGTCCAACAATGGATGAATGGATAAAGAACATGTGGTATATATATGTATGAGTATTAGTCATAAGAAAGAAGGAAGTCCTGCCATTTGCAACAACAAGGATGGACCTTGAGGGCATTATATTAAATGAAATAAATCAGACAGAGAAAGGCAAATACTGTATG